GGGATCCTTTCTGCTGAAGGCTGATCCCCAGTTCCCAAGAATGAAACTCATCTCACCTGTTGGGAAGGGATTTTCAGTAAAAGGGGGAAGAAACCCAATATTTTGCCTCTTTCTTTCCTTTTCTCTTTCCTTTTCCCTTTCCTTCCCTTTCCTTCCCTTTCCTTCCCTTCCCCTTCCCCTTCCCTATATCTCTTCTTTTTCTTCCTTCTTTCCTTTTTCTTTCTTTTTCTTTCTACTTTTCCCTCCCTCCCTCCCTCCCTCCCTCCCTCCCTTCCTTCCTTCCTTTCTTCCTTCCTTTTTTCCTTCCTTCTATTTTAACTGCCAGTAAATTTGTTTGGTTTGTATAAATATGTATTGAGCATTTTTATACTCTCCCTTCTAACTTAACAGTTCAAGACTGAAGTCTGTAATTGTGATTAATTGTAATTATCCAACCAATTATCCACACAGCTAGAAGACGGGCTCTCCCCCACACCTAACGCTCCAGATTCAGATACAAAACCAAGTCTGCCAAGCCAACAGAGAAGGGCCAGTCTGATTTTGTTCCAAAGGGCGGGTGTCACCCCCCCAAAACAGGTCCCCCTTCTGGGCTCCCCCAGCCAACACACTTTAGCCAATGGTGCCCCTCGTCTTTTAACACATTAGGAAGGTATATTTTGCACACTACACAAATACACCCCTGTGGATACCAGACGTAAAGCTTTCCGCCTCCTTGTCTATACCTTCCTTAACTATAACCCCATCACAGTCCCCCACATGTGCATGTAGGTCTGTTGTGTGTAGGAGAGGATGTGTAAGGTTCAGGGCAGTGTTGCAATCTTTCCATTGTGCAATCGGATCAAAATGCCGTACCAGAAGGATTTGGCTTCAGGAGATGAGTAATACAGCTTAACAGGATGCTGAAGTCTGCATACGATCTGGATCGGTTGATTCCAAAGGAGGTTGGGTCACCCTGGGTTCAAAGATCAGCAGCCTGCGGGTACAGATAAATTAAGGCTTAAGAAATGGAGATTTGGATCCTGGCTTATTTAGGATTTATGTATTTATATATTTATTATTATTAATACATTTTGTTGAGTGAAATTTGCTCCATTTGATGGCTTTCCTTGCCACAGTTCTTGAGGACATCGCTGCGGTTGTTGTTAAATTAGCGACACCGTTTGTGAAGTGAATCTGACTTTGCTTGTCAGACGGTCTCAAAAGATGATCGATTGTATGACCCCCGGGACACTACAGCGGTCATAAATGTGAGTCAGTGGCCAAGCACCTGAATTTTTGATCACGTGACTGTGGGAGGGAGGGGTGTTACGATGGTTGTCGGTGTGAAAAGCGGTCCTGAGTCCCTTTTTTCCAGTGCTGTTGTAACTTTGAACAGTCGCTAAATGGGACTGTCGTAAGTCGAGGACTTACCTGTCCTGGAAGCACATCTTGATATTGTAAACGTCCTCCAAGCACTCCATCCTGATTGACATCCGATCTGAAGTCATCCTTAGCAAGAGCTTCGTCTAATATTAGATGCCGGTCCTCATGAAACCGCAGCTAATTCCTAGAAAAGGAATACGGGAGATAATTGATTTTGAAAGAGCATCCTGACCACTCTGATATTGACGATCGGTGCCGGAACCAGAATCTCTTCGATTGATCTAAGAAAGGAACGGGACCGAGTGCTTTCGATCCCCAACGTCAGCAACTTCCTGCTGAGGAAATGGGTGCCTAGCTTTCCATTGGCCACCTCGTGCTTGGACAGGGGGTTGGGCTAGAAGACCTCCCAGGTCCCTTTCAAATCGGAAATTCTGTTGATTCTGCGTTTCCTGGCCTGCTTTGCAGTGGAGAACTTGTAGTTTTGAATGGAATGAGGCTAGGTATATGTGTGTGTGTGTGTGTGTGTGTGTGTGTGTGTGTGTGTGTGTACAAGAGAGAAAAAGAGCATGAATAATCATTGCCTGTTGGGAAGTGTTTTGGACACACCTACCCTGTTCAAGGGTGAGTCATAAAGTCTGTTTAAACATTGACTCTCAATCAAAGAATGCAGGACTTAAGAGAGCAGCCATTCCTCCTCCTTCCACCCCCTCCTCTTCCTCCTCCTGTCCATAAATTCCACTCCCTTCTGATGATGTTACTTAGTAGGTTAATGAAACGTCTGCAAGAAAACTACCAAGCACAGAGAGTACCAAGGACCCCACAGTCCTTTTCCTCTGCCTCCTCCTCTGCCTCCTCCTC